GACACATTTTGCACTTTAAAAAAGTGAGCAAAAAGACAACCCAGCTGACTAAAGCAGTATTTTACTTATAGCCCTTTAAGTTTAAGTTGCTTTTTCAACAACTTGATTTCTAACATGATTAATAAAACAGCTTTTACTTGAAATCTAATAATACTGTTCTTTCATCTGAGTTGTACGCACAATAATAACTCCAAAAGATGACTTAATGAAATATATTTTTGCTTTCCTCAGATCTCTTTATATCTCAAAAATGCATTAAAAAAAATAACTTACTATCTCTTTCAAACGACCGTTACAATGTGCTATAAGTCCCACACTAACAAGTCCTACTTTCTACTAACTCGTGTATATACATGCATTGTTTTCTAAACCAGAATACCACCAAAGGCTTCAGTCAATAGTAAACAAGCACTCACACACACCTATCAGGCACATTCGTATTCTTTACCTTGCTCAGTAATTCCCAAGCTTTTTCAGATTTTGAAGTCCCATTTTAAAATGCTTTGTTTTTAAAAAAAAAAAAAAAAAAAAAAAAAAAAAGTCTCATCCACTCTCAGCACTCTTTGAGTTGCAGCTTTCTCAAAAATCCCTTGGGCACCTGCCACACTCCTTTCTGGTACAGTATGATACAGAGTGAAGCATGCTAAGTATGTATTCTCATTCACCATCAGAATAGTCCTGCTGTTTGAGTTCCTCTCCCCACATACACAAATATATGAAAAAAACACTGTTTTATACTCACGCTCAAAAAAGGAAAAAAAACATCACTATGTCCTTCCCTTTCACTATGCTCTTCATCTTCAGGTAAAGTTTCACTTAATTATTACTGTTTAATTTATTACACAAACACTTCAGTACCTTTTCTTGTTTAAAAATAAGAAGTGGAAATATTTTGCACTTACCTAAATTGTCATCAGGGTAAATTAAGTGAAGAAAAGAACGATGATAACATCCAAAAATGAAATTAAAGTCTGCAAGCATGCATGTATCTCTTAACAGAGAGGTATTGAAAAATAAGCTGAAGAAAGCAGGAGACAACAGTACAGTGACAAACAGAAAATAAAACAAATGAACATGCAGAAAACATTGAATTTTAAAATATCTTAGAGCATACTTTCATGGGTCATAAATACTATATTGCAGCAGTGAGGTAGGAAAATATCGTTTACTGTCTCTTCTTTTACAATGCAGGTAAATGAGAAGTTTCCTTTGTATAACATGCTATGCATCAGAAAACAAGTATCATTTACCATTTTTATTAGAAAACATATGGTAGTCTGGTAAAGATTTTACCAGATTACTGGTAAAGTCTGGTAAAGATTTACCAGACTAGTATTATACTTTAATACAAAGAATGGAAACATTTCAAAATGTTTTACTGTATTTTCCTTTAGTTTTCTACTTAAAAACTTGTCACAAAGTAAAAATGAAGAGCATGGAAAATACAATCGACCAGCCTAACTTGCAACTCTGATTTTATGAATATTCATTCGCTTATCTGCTGATTAAATTAATATATTTTATCAGCTCTGTTCTCTTAAGTATGAGTTATTAATACTACTACAGGCACACAAAAATTATTTCAAGGAATAATTCTGTATTCAAACCTATGAGTCTCTCAGAGGAACTGTTCAGTACCCTTTTTGTCCTTTCTTTTTTCATTAATTAAAACTCCTGCAGTAGCAGGGCAGGAATTACACTTCAAAGGAAAATCAAAATTTATAATATGTTTCAAAGAACACATTAAATAATCTAACATTACCTGTTTTTCTGTAAGGCAATAGAATAAAAAGGATCAAACTCACCGTTTATTTCCAACATGGTCATATAAACACATCACAAAAGAAAAATAACCACTGTTCATTGTGTGCAGTGACTCATATTTGTATTGATTACATAGAATTAAACAAAAACATTTATAAGCTGGGTTAGGGGCCATTATTTTATGCAACTCGGTATATAGTTTATTGAAATGACACCATAATAAATCTAATCCAGTTTTTAAAAAGTCATAAAAACATATTAAATGATAAAAATTAATGCATGACATAAAAACCAGTCAAGTAAAATGGATCCATTTTGTGGAGTTCTGTTGTTTTTTTTTTGTTTTGCTTTGCTTTTTTTGTTTGTTTTTGACACTCAGGAAACCTTAGGAATTAATTTTTTGAAGATTTTTGTGTCATCTCAGTGCTGCACGTCCTTCCTATCATGCATTCTCACATTCTCCTGTCTGAAAAAGAACAATGTGAGGGGTACCATATTCAAAAGTCATAGCTGTCATGTGAAGTTCGCACTGACCAGAAAAAGGAAAACACCACTCCCATTTTTATGAAACGTGGACAGAAAAGTCCAGAAAACTTCAGGTCAGTAGCCTCACCTCTGTTCATGGGAATATCGTGAAACAGATCCTTCTGGAAGCTATGTTAGGGCACTTGCAAGAAGAGGACATGATATACGACAGCCAACATAGCATCATCGAGGTCAGACTGTGCCTCATCAATCTGGTGGCCTTCTACAATAGAGTGACGGCATAAGTAGATTGTGTCATCTACATGGAATTCTGCAAGGTCTTTGGTATGGTCCCACACCACATTCTTAGCTCTAAATTGAAACAATACAGATTGAAAGGGTATCCACTATTTGGTGGATAAGGAATTGCTTTTATGGTCACAGTTGGAGGGTTGTGGTCAACAGCTCTATGTCCAGATGGAGGCTGGTGACAAATGGTCCATCCTTGAAGCAAGTGTTCTTCAATAACTTTATCGAGAATGCAGATAGTGGGATTGAGTATAACCTCAGCAAGTTTGCTGTTGACACCAAGCTAAGTGGTACAGTCAGTAAGATAGAAGGACGGGATGCCATCCAAAGGGATCTAGACTAGCTTGAAAAGCAGGCTCATGAGAACTTAATGAGGTTCAACAAGACCAAGTGCAAGTTGTTGCACCTAGTTTGTGGTAATCCCAGATATGTCTACAGACTGAGAGAACTCATAGAAAGTAGCTCTGCAGAGAAGGACTTGGAAGTTTTGGTGTATGAAAAGCTTGATGCAAGTTAACCGTGTATACTTGCAGCCAAGAAGTATATAGGCTGCACAAAGGAACACGGTCAGCAGGGTGAGAGCGGTGATTGTCCCCCTCTACCCTGTTCTCATGAGGCCTCATCTGGAATCCTGCATTCAGGTCTGAGCTCCCAACAAACACAAGACAGGGCTGTTGGATCAGATCCAGAGGAGGCCACAAAGATGATCAAAAGACTGGAGCACACCTCCTGTGAAGAAAAGTTGAGGCAGCTGGGCTTATTCAGCTTGGAGGAGAGGTTCTCGGAAGACCTCAGTGGGGCATTCCAGTACTTAAAGAGACTTTATAAACAGGAGAAAGGTTTACTTTTAACGTAGACTAATAGTGAAAGGATAAGGGGGGATGGTTTTAAACTTAAAGAAAGGAGATTTAGTTAAGATGTAAAGAGGAAATCTTTTACTCAAAGGTTGGCAAGGCACTGGAACAGGTTGCCCAGAGATGTTGTGGCTGTCTCATCTCTGAACGCATTCAAGACCAGCTAGGATGGGGTCCCATGCAGTCTGATCTACTCTTCCCATGGCAGAGGGTCTGGATGATCATTAAGGTCCCCTTCCAATGCAAACCATTCTATGATAACAGAAGTTGCAGAGACTATAATTATACGCAGATTCAAAAGCAGACTCACTTAAAAGTCCCCTGAAAGTTAGGAACACAAAGTGTACATGTTTCAAAGAGTACTCAGTGGAGTACTCACCATATGCTTACTTCATCCTCTGAACTTTTGGACATTGTCACACTAGGCTAGATAAACTTTTAGGCCAATCTAGTCTTCTATGCTATTACCTTCTTACAGGAAAGATTCATGAGAGACTGTGAAATACCTTATTTTTGTCTTTTGCTAGGTTCATTTAAAAAAAAAAAAAAAAAAAGTGTACTGGTTAAAAAAACAAATCTTCCATGAAACAAACAAATGAACAGGACTTGTAACAGCTATTAGTTCCCTTTCCCTTCAAAATGAATAAGTAACTTTCAAAAAGTGTGTCTAACCACTTTGGCAGATGACTTAAGTTCTTTAAATACTAGATTCAAATTCCAAACATCATGTTACTTCTAAGTGAAGGGTATTAGGGTGATGCTTCCCTACAAAAGGCTACTAAAAGGCAATGCTTTATAATATTCCCTCTACTATTAATTAACACCAACTTTCAAGATTAGAAAGGTTAACCAGCAAGGCTTTTGAAAGAACCTCAAACAAATATGTTTAAAATAATTGTTCTAGCAGCATCCTGGTTCATCCACGACAAATTCATTACCTTTTATTTTCTTGTATAAGTAGAGTGTCTAGACTGATAGTACATTTGTTTACTGTATTGAATTCCTGATCAACACCCAGTTGGACTGATTGCAATCATTCAGGACCAAACTTGTTAATTCCACAGCACATCATGTATCTAAGAGTTGCAAAGTTCAATGAGAACTAATGATTATCAGAAACTCAGAAGTAAATGAAAAAAGTCGGTTGTTGCTGTCTACCAGCCAGTGAAGAAGTTTAGATTGGGAATCTGGAAGTGATAGAAACACAGGATTGTGTTTTTGTCTGGGGAAAGTTAACAGATGGTCTGAAAAGGAGCAATTTTAAATAAGCCCAGCAGCCAAGAAGAATGTGGAGACAGAAATACAATAATTTTTTTTATCTACTCAATGCCACTGTTTTATATAACTTTGTGAAATAAAATATCTCCTTGAAGGACGACAATACAGCTTTAACATTTTCATTGTTTTGGGACAGGATTATTGCGTTGCAAATAAAAGTATTTGAAGTACATATTTACAAGACAGACTTTTTCTAAGTCTCAGAAGCATTGCTGAAAACACCACTTCAACTCTATTATCTTGTTATTGCCAAATTTGATCCAATATTATAAGTAAAATACCAAGTACTTAGCTGTGAATTAACAAAAAGAAACTTCCAGAACTACTTACCTGATTTTCTTCATGGGAAACTCTCATTTGTTCTTTAAGAACTGACATTCTGGCTGCTTCTTCCTTCCTCAATACTCTTTCTTTCTTTAATTCAGGACTCCAGAAAGTTTTGATGCTATTCATGGAGGATCCCAGCTTGCTGTCTTTAATGTCTAGTTCTTTTCTGAGAAGATCATTCTCCCTCTGTAGTTCCTTAAGCTGAGCCTGCAGGTCTAACATAGTACTATCTCTAACCTGTCTCAGCATAGAAGGAACCTGGTGGTGATGATGGTGTGAAGATGTGGTCAGACCTCCGTGTTGATCAGTGTAAGAAAGGACATCTGTGTGGGACAGTCCAGCTGAAGCAATATTAGGACTGCTTCCCATAGCTGTGACTCGACCACCATACACAGCTCGATTTGTAGCCCTTCCAAGAGTCATTGTGCCCTTTGGGAAAGTAGTAGAAGCTACACCTTCATGGTCACTCAGATACATTGGTCCAGATGTTGCATAGGCTGCATTAAGGGACTGGATGTTCTCCATTGATAACGTCTTACCTGTTCCTCCTCCTCCTCCACTACTTGTTCGCCTATGGCCCAGGCGAGGAGATCTTGGCAAACGAGGAGACCTGGAGGGACTTCCTTCTAAGTTGCTGATTGTTCTCGCACTCCCGTACATCTTTCTTCTACTTTGAGGTACTGTTTAGTAAGAAACTAGTAAGACTAAAGTTGAATATTAAATTTATAACTCCAGCTAGAAATATTGGCAGTTTCACTGTATTCTTCCAGTAGGCAAAAGACCTTCCAATTCAGGTACCTAAAAAGGACAAAAAGATATTACAAAATAAGTAAGATTTCCCCCTTGTCTTAGAAAATATTTTTACAATTAGAAAGTAAAACGCATAAGTCTTAACTACTTAAGTAACTACTTTGAACATAAAACTTATAATACATTCTATATTTAGGCTGTCAGCATTTTAAAACCAGAGAAAAAAATGCTCATTTCTTTCTTATTAAAAATATCTTCACATTTTGACTTATTTTAACAAGCTTTCTGTTGCACTACGAACCCAAAAAAAAGCATTTTAGCAGGTAAGTGGAATGATATTAGACTTAAGTGACTGATCATATGAAATTACATACAGGAGAATACAATAGCTGCTGTTGGCATTAAAGACTACCAAACACAAGTATTCCATTTTCAAAAGGCTGTTTAAAACAAGGAAGTTCTTTTACATAGATATAGATATGGATATATACATAGAGGTTTTTAGAAGAAAGCAATGTTCTAACAGCTCAGCTTCAACCAGTAAAAATATTTTAGGAAGAAAAATTAATAAAACCAAGCTAATTTGAATATATTCTCCTAAACTGTCACAATGCAGTATTACAACACTTTTCTTATTGAATGAAGTAATGGCTTGCTAGTGTTTGTTGTTAATCAGCTTCTCAAGAAGAGGTTACATGGCTGTCATCTAGGCTTTCCTTTAGAAAAGGAGTGCCTGACAGATACAGTTTTCTTTCTTTCTTTTCCCTTATGCATATTACTTTTGACAGAACTATCTTCACAACTTACTTAAACAGATAGGTACCGATCAAATATTCTTACTGTTTTTAAATACTATACTATTACTATACATGAAATGGGTTCTATTAATTTAATTGGTGCTCATTAACCAGCTCCAGTATCATTTATTTTACAGGTAATTGGAGGAAGAGCAAAGGTTGGATCCATTTAAATCCAGTAATATTTAACTGCTCCCTCACAGCATTCTCTTTACATATAGATACATTATTTTTTAAATATCTGATACAAAATATCCGTCCTGCAAGTGAACAACTCTGGCATGAAAAACTACTGCAGATACTGTTGCCAGCAAACAAGAGGCATGCCCAGCTCTCACCTGATGCCCTGGTTATCCCACACAAACATACAGCGCATGGTTTATATTAACTCTAAGAATTGTTCTGTAGTTACCACACTTTCATCACATTTAATACTCAGCAGAGTCTAAAGCATTTTTGTTTCATTTTAATTATCATTATGCAGTTAAACTAACTGAAATGTTTTCTTATTTTGATTCAATTACTATTGCATATCCGTAGCCATTCCTGCAAATTTTCACCTCCTTACCAAGAGATGAATCAAAAGCCATGAAATTTTTGAGATTTGTGAAAGATGTGAAAGCCTACAGCACTACACAGTGGTGAGAAAGCTCAATGGAATCAAGTGAAAACAACGTCAAATATCATGGGGAGGACAGGAGAGCTGTACAGACAAGAATGCTATATTCACAACTATAAAGACCAGCCCTTCTTCTTTATAGGAGCCCAGGAAGCACACTGACTACTAAAACTAGATCTTAGCTGCACAGAAATCATTCTTCTCATTATTAAAACAGGAAATCATTTTTCATAAAGGATAAAAAGATTGTTTTCCTCCTGTTCACTTTGCTGGTGGTGATGGTGGTAGTTTTTGTTAGGTTTGGGTATTGGTTGGTTGGAATTTTTCTTATTTGCTTTGCTTAAACTGTGGCAAAAGGTTCCTCTGCCCTTATCCTCAATTGAAAATCGATATTTGAACTTGGAACTAATTTCTGACATTGCATCACTATATCTTTGCTTATACTGTCCTCAAAGTCAGGCATAGCAGGGCCAGTGATTGCCATAATGTGGATCATGTAATATAAAAAGAAGAAAAAAAGCCTGACAATTTATGCTTAGAAAGCTCAGGCCCCATTTAGAGTTTCTATGTCTCCTCTGGCCAGAGGCACCAAGTCAGCAGGAAGTTTGGATATTAGCCAAATCCTTAATAGCTTTGTACAACTACTTGCCAATACTCACATTCAGCCAAGGTCTCAAACATTTGTAATACTGATGAAAGCTTTAAAAGAACCTTTCCCTTACAGCTGTCCTCCCCAAATAATGTAGAGTGACAGCTCAGTGCAGAAATATCACATTGATAATTTCATACACTCAGTGGCTTCCAAACTGTCCAAAAACTGTTTAGTCATATACAGCTTCCAAAATACAAACTGAAAACAACAGAAGAACTAAGAGATGATGCAGAAGATACATTCTCCACTAGAATTCAACTGCCTCATATTTGGAGGAGATAGAAGATTCACAGAATAAGTTCTGTTCCATAAAAGTAAATGTTCTGGCAAACAACGTGTGTGTGTGTGTGTATATATATATATATATACATATTAAAACTTACCACAAGAAACAGCAGTGTTGTACACAAAAGCCAAGGCATACACATGTATTTAAAGTAGTGATCAAAAGGCAGAGACATTTCTGGCAGATCTTTTTAGATTACCTTGGTAGCTAACTCTTTTTAAAGGGGCTGAACACATCCTCAAAAAAAAATCTTTTTTTTTTTTTTCCCCCTTTTTGCTTTTTTTATCTGTGATGGCTTGGGGGAAAAAAAAAAAACCCCTTTAAAAAAAAAAATTTTTTTTTTTTTTTTTTTTTTTTTAAAGTACACCTCCTTTCTTTAATCAGAGCAGTCCTGCATGCTTTATTTCAGTAAAGTAAGAAGATGGACAGTATGCTGGTTCATATGGTGGCTCTTTCAAGACCTATATTGCTTTCATCAAAAAAGGGAGCGTATTTTTCTCTACTTATCATTGTCAGACTGATGTAATGATTTTTCCCCCCACTTCTCTAATCATAAGAAATAACATCACTTAACTCTCCCCATTATTCTACTATTCCTGAGAAGTTGGAAAATAAAATATACATGACACTAAAAGTAATCATCTTCATTTAGGTTCCTTTTAATTATCAATAAGCATTCACTACTAATTTCACTGCTTTACCTTGTAGTCAGTTAATGACAAAATCAGTGCGCGTGCAGTTGTGTATAAACTTAGTTACAGAGTCTGTTTTGATCTTGCCAGTTGGTGATGTCCCTTAAGATCCAATGGTGCAAAATGAAAGACGAGGCATTTCTCACCTTGCAGGAATAGCTTTTCACATCTGCATGGCTTTCATTTCTATTTCTTACTACAGAAACAGTATATGAAGAAGAATGTAATGACTGCTGAATATACATCTAATGATAAATGTGGAAATCTGTCAAGAAATCAAATGCTGTCTGGTGCAGGGACACTAATTAACACTCATCATGCAATCAGAAACTCCTGCAACGGAAATATTTGATCCAAATGCAGTATTAAATACCTTGAGGAACAAGCAGTTCTGATTGTCAATTATATCAAAAATCCAAGTTCATTCTGATTTAATAGTCAGTCAAAAGAAGCAGAGTTATTTGGCATCATCCATTTGTTTAAAAGCATTGACATAACCAAGCCTTATACATAACACTTCAAAGATGCAATGTAAAATACCTCAGTTTATCAAAGCTCACAGTTCTGATAGTGGATCAACATTTTGTTAGCTGTCTGATCTCTGCAGCTTTCAACATTAAGATCCTTAAGAAATTTGTTGGGAAAAAAAGTTAGCAACTAATAGGGGACAGAAATGAGTACATTTCAGAACATTGAAAGCATCTCTACTGTTGGAATCTTCTCAGCTTACACGCACCATGATGATCTTCTCAGGATACAAAGGCTAGGCCAGTATTTGGCCTAGTATCTAGGACAGAGAAAAACTCCTAATTTTTCTGTCAGCATATGTCTTGTGTGCTATATTCTGTATCCTAGCCTACATTCACTGTGCCTTCCTAATGCTCCTACAATTGTAGATCAGTTGCCTCATACTTGTGTTTCTTCCTCCATAGCAAACCTCATTCGTCAATGCAAGACTGCATTTACCAACGCATCTTTTACATGGGATTACCCTAAGGTGCGCGCTTAGTCTGGCAAACAGGATCTGTAGCTTAATGTCTATTAAACAAACCAAAAAGTTAGATGCCTTTTTTTTAATTATAATTGGAACTGACTCTTCTTGGGAGGAAATATTAACGCATAAAAGCAGACATCATTACTCAGATTACCTTAAAAATTTGTCCTACAAAGTAGCACAGTTTTGCTTTGCCAGAGTTTACCCAGTGACTATGTAACACTTCATAGAAACACTGAACTCCTTACAGACTGAATCACTTTTCTACTTCAATTGAGAAGCCTGTGCTTAAAAGTAAGCACAAGACAAGACAACCTAAAGGTTTTCCAACCAAAATCAGATGATTGGTCTTGTTCTATTATTTCTGAATTCAGAATGGCAAGAAGCACCTTTCTTCCCTTTTTAAGCAATCTGCTGGTACTCAAGGACAAAAACCTAGTTTCTAAAGCTACTTCAACAGGGCACAAGTAAGTTCAAGACAGACATAAGGGACGACTGTAAACATACTAAAAAAGTGCACTTTTCAAAAGCAATACAACATTTCATTATTAACACAAGTAAAGAATCAAAAGGAAAACTATAAAATAGAAATTTGAGCTAAATTAATTGTGTAAAAAAAAAAAAAAGGTAAAGAAAATAGTGGGGTAATGGGAAAAATATACAAAACTTGTCAGAAATAATGTGTGTGTATATATATATATACATACACATACATATATATATACAGATATATATATGTATGTGTGTATATATATACACATATATATATATGTATGTGTGTGTATATATATGCTTTGAACAGCCAAGCTTCCTTTTCTCAGCTGAAATCTCATTTGCCTTGGAGCAGCCGAAGTACAGCAAGTAGGTCAC